GTCAGTAATACTACTATTACCACTACTGACACTGCTATTACTATTACTGTTGATATTACTACTACTACTACTACTACTACTACTTTTACTACTACTACTACTACTACTTACTACTACTACTAATACAAAAAATCTACCCAAAGTTTTGTCAGTCATAGTCAGGATTTTAATATTATCTTTGCAAGCTAATGTAAAATTTGGTGTAAATGCTGTTAATATGTAAAGTTTTCAAGTTACATTGTTTTACTGAGGTAAAGTAAACTACGGTGCGTAACACCTGGTAAGCTGAGAGTATCGGTATTTTCTTATTAATAAATGTCTATGAGCAGACAGGTGGGTAACAGTGCACTTTCATTATAGAAATATTTTTTAAGGCGACTTTCCGCCTGATGTTATTGTGTTCTTGTTGTGGTGAGATACTCTAGGGAATTCTTTGGTGACGTAGTTAGCAGAGAGAAACTTTACTGAGATGTTTCGCCCGTGCTTAGGCTGTTTCGATCAGTGAAGCCTGTGGATATGCTTCTTCTCTGACTGAAGTAACCTTTCCACAGGTGAAAAGTCTCAACAAAATTCATCTCGACAATCGTGTCATTTTCACCACTTGTCGACTTTGCTCCATTTGTCTCCAGTGAATTCTCTGATTGCTTTGGCGGAGAGTTCAGTGATGGTGGTGATGGTTTTCTGGAAGAGGGAAGTCGTGGCTGCTGCCGTATGTCCGGTGGGAAGTAATTATGGTCTCTCAGTGGTTGTGCCTTTTTGTTTGGAGATAATACTGAAGATTTGCTATGCAAGGATGGATGATGTGCTGAAGAAATACGAAGACCGAGGAAGCTTTATCGATGTGTGTTTCATGGTTTGGTAGGTAAACACTGCTGCAGATTGGAAGGGAACGTGTGGAAAAATTATTATTGTATTAATGTTGGTAGAATTACCGACAATATGTTAGGTAAAAGAACACAGGTGCAACTAATGTGGCATTTTATTGTGGCAACGTTTCGCTCTCCAGGAGCTTTATCAAGCCGTAACGGCTTGAGAAAGCTACTGGCGAGCGAAACGTTGCCACAATAAAATGTCACATTAGTTGCCCTTGTGTCCTTGTACCTAACAAAAAACATTATAATTGCGCCTTTTTTAGTTCTGAAATCATGCTGTGAGTAGAAAGGAATCAGATCACCCTTGGTGAAAGGATTTCAGTGGGTTTAGTATTTGAAACGATCGCCACTCTTGATGAGAAGGACTCCCAAAAACAAAAGGGTCGAGACCTAGCAGCCTCTTCTTCCACAAGAAAGTAAATTAAGTGCCCAACTTGGTTGCGATGGTCTATAAAGTTAGAAAGGTTGAAGCGTCTGGGTCTCATGACCAAGACGTTGTCAGCATATTTGAGCCAGGAGATAGGCTAAGCAATTCCGTTTTTATGTCCTCTAAGTCAATTCTAGTTAAAATTCATTGACTGGGGAACACATTGCCGGCGCAAATTTCTGCTCATATACGTAGGTCTTCTTCAAAAGAGAATAAGTTAAAACCGACACACAGTTTTCTGAGAGAGGAAAGTCACAGTTGATGTAGATAAATTTCCGGGAAATGTTGCCACTTTATGAATAGGAACTCGGAAAAACACCGGGTTTATGATATATTTAAGCTGAGAGAGAAGGTCTATAGAGTGTTTAAAATGTTAGGGAGCAATAGCACCCAGCAACATAGACTGGTGTCTAGATAGAAGGCCAGCAAGTTTATGGAGCCTCTGCCGGTGCCTTAGATAAATGGCTTCTAGTGGAATATTGGGGTTATGTGTTTTGAGGACAGTGTAAGTGTGTGCAGGAAGACCATATCACGTACTCAACAAGGCGAGAAACACTGTTATCTTGAACCAGCCAGACCTACACACATATATGGTCTTCGAAAACACATAAATCCAGTGTTTTACTCTGGCCTATTACCTCCCGTATCGGCTATTTCACACACATTGGCTGTATATAAATTCGTGTTATGCCCTATGGAGACCCTAACCAAGACATCATTTCTTCAAATCGGTAATTTCATAATATGAAAATTGCTGTGTCTGTAAAGTCGTCAACATCAACATCATTCAGCACGAGGTGTAATGGAGGTTCGATCCTCCGTCTGCTCATCACCAGACAGAAACGATACTTGAGTAGAGTCCTCACCAGACGCGTCTTTTGCTTTGATCATTGATGTGAATACAGTCACAAGTGCCTCCTGGCAGCAAATATTGATCCGTGACTGGCTTTACAGGAGGTGGCTGTAGGCTGGGTGGCTTGGCTTTAGTAGGCTTGAAAACTGTCCGGTACACGAGGGTTATTCAGGCAGTATTTCACCGGTACACTGCCGGTCAAGGATACTTCAAACCCGAAAATTGGGATTAAAGCAAACTCTGGGTGGGTATACACAGATATTCACTAATTTCTGCGAGTATACACAGATATACGTATCTTTCAATGTGTATACACAGAAACACACACGTGTTTCAGTGAATATACAC